CGACATTGGAAATCTAAACGATAATTGGTTTATCTCTTTGAGCTCACACACCATACAGTCTGCTTGTGCCCGATATAAGGAAGGAAGGAAAAGTGATTGCTCAGAGGACAGTGGCTTCTGGAGGGAGTCTATCAACTGCCCCTGGAAAGAAGATAGTGAGAATACATATGGGTGTTTGGGCCTGGGGGCAAGTGGGGCAGAGCCACAGGTCCTTCACCCAAGGGCCATTTCTTAGAGGATTAGAGGAGAGAGCCTATTACCTAGCTAAGTAGAACAGGATTTTGTATTTTACTTGGGTTTGTCTGGTTGTTGAAAAACCTGTTAGGACTTAACACAGCATATAGGATAATGACAGTCTTCACCCATTATGAGGTGAAGGTGTGGTAATTATAATAGATCATGATGGCACCTAGCACTCTAAGTACTTACAGTATGCCAGGAACCACTGTTGAATGCTTGACATGAATTGATCTCATTGAATGCTCACTACCCCAGGACACAGGCACCAGTATAACTTTACAGATAAACGCCCCCTTTACCCTTACACTATAGCACCTCCCCGTGGAGGGCTAAGTTTTGGAGTTACTAAGACATGCTATATGCACGCAGTCCCTGACCACAGGGAGAGATGGGCTAGGGATATGCACAGAAAACCCCACAGGCTAGCCCCTCACCCCGGCCTCCTGCCGTGCCGTGTCTTCCATGTAGGTCTCCTCGTGTCTCACCTAGGCTGCGCTGCCTGTTCACCTCCCTGACTCTGCCCTCTTCCCGCTGGGCGCCCTCTACACGGCTGCCGGGCACATCTGATCATGTCACGCTCCTGTTTCAAATACTCCCATTGTATTCCAGAAAAAAGGCAGCTTCCCATCCCTTTTAGTCTTGGATCCCAAACTCTGATTGTGTCAAGATCACCTTTAGAACTTGGTAAAAATGCATATCACCAGGCCCCGGCCCAGACCTACTGAAACCTGCTTTCTGGGGGTGGGGGTGGGCAATTCCCATGTCAGCCCTGTGAAGGAGCTACTGTGCAGATGTGATGAAGTTCAGAATGCCAGCATCATGGATGCCTGTTTGTGTGTCTGCCCCACTGGACTGTAAACTCTGAGAGGACCTCAGCTTTGCTTGGCAAAGTACCTGGCATCTAACCTGTGCTCAACAAATATTTCAGATACATGCATGAGTATATCATGAGGCAAGTTCTCTTATGGGACAATTTAGACAGATTGCTGAAAACAGGCCTTCATCTAGGCAGTAAGTGTTAATGCTGACTTCCAGTAGTGATGGGTAAAAAGACACAGCAGAATCATAGCCACCCTCTTTTCACCTACCTGTTGGCCTTTTTAGTGGCTTTCCCCCAAGAGACTGGAGGCCCGTCCCGCCCGCATGGGAAACAACCTGTCATGAAGGCATTTGCTCACTTACATTGCAGAGCGTCAGGAGATTTGCCAATAGGGTGGTTACCAAGTTCTTCCTTGGTCGTTGTTGCCTAATTTTGATGGAGAGGAATAATTGCAATGGTGGTCTTGGTTACTTGCTGACTGGCAAATGTTTGCATCACAAACCCTGCTGTGGTGGAGAATCTAGGAGCTACTCAAATTGCAATGACTGGTGTCCTGTGCCTTGGGGTTGAAGCAGGGCTGATGTTAGCCACCATCCGCCTCTGTTCAGGAGGAGGCGGCCACCCCATGCACGGGTGACAGTGCAGAGCGGCGGGTTTCGTGGGCTGGTCCATCTCAGCGACCTGCTCAGGGGCCAGCTTACTGTCAACATGCAACCTCAGAGTTCTCTCTCAGACCCACCAGGATAATCCTGGGGGGATTTATTTTTAGTCCATACAGTGTATTTACTCCCTACCCATCTCATTTTGGTTCTTTTGAAATGGTTTGACTCTAGCAGTAGCAACCGATGCTCATTAAAAGTGAGTTGTACGGATTCTTTCGGTTTCTGAAACATCAGGTAAAAAAGGAAGGAAACTTCACATTTATTGAGTACTTACAACATGCCAGGAACGTTCACAGGTGTTCTCTCATTTATGTTTCACAATAATCTCGGGAGGTTACTCATGCGATCAGTTCCCATTTCACAGATGAGGAACCTGAGGCCAAATTCCCAATGTCTGTCTTCGCAGCATGGGGAGAAGGATGGAGGCAGGACGTGAACACGTGTTAGGTTCTCTGTGCTGGACACTGCGTCTCGCACACCACACGGATTTATCTCATTCAGTCCTCACGACAGCTTCACGACATAGGTACAGATAAGGAAATGCGGCTCAGAGAGGTGAAGCGACTTGTCAGTGTAACTGGGAAACCAGACCGCACCCCGGGTTTCTGCCTGCCTGCTTCCGTGTTCACTCACCCCTGTCTTAACCTGAACCTTTAGTAAAAACCATCGTCTGAGATGGGCTGGTTCAAAACAGATTCTTTACAGTTTGTAGATTCCAGCACATGAGTGGTTTTATCCCACATGGTGAGTGAATTCTTTATAATCCTGTTCAAATCCGTATTATACATATGCACTGTGTTTCCCCCCCAGATCGGCCGTGGATTTGGAACATTCCTTATGTCAAGGCCCCAGATACACACGGAAACATGTGGGTTCCGTCCTGAGGGTTGAAGTTCTGTGAAGCTTAAGTTGTAAGACACTGAGCGGCAACCACTTGATGTTCCTGTTTGTACTTGGTGTTCACTTCCCTTAAAGTTTTATCTGCACCCCTGACTCTTTCCACAGGTCACTCTTTTTCACATGGATATTTGTTGTAGTCATTATTAACATTTCTCACTGAAAAATATTAAAGATATTTTCTTAATTGCCTTTGCTATGCTGTGCATTGGAATGTCATATTAACTGATTTTATCTTCATAACAGTCCAATGAAGGAGGTACTGTTATCATCCCCATTTAACAGATGGGTAAAATTAAGATAGTGATCCAAAGTCACACAGCTGGCAAGTGGCAGAGCTGGGTTTGAACCCACGCAGCAAGCGTGGCAGATACACCCAAGCTCCAGCCAAGGAGGCCTTGTGTGTATATAATATATAACTGTGGCTACAAAACCAGTGCCTTCCGTCCACTATAACAGCACATCATGGTGGCGTGACAGGACCAACGAGGGCACATAAAACCAACCACTAAGTGTCTCACATTCGCGTGCAGGACTGGGCACTGAAGTAGTAAAGCCAGAACCTGACAGTGGAGCAGGTTCCTTCCAAATGAGAGTATAGAGGGCTGAACTCTCCGCCATGGTGATCATGTTCTGTTAAATTCCCTGACTGAGACCTGGTGTTCCCATGGACATACTAGATCTAAAGCCCAGAGCGGAAGGGATCAGGCCGAGTGTCAGAAGAGAAGGCAGCACAGAAGATGCTTGAGGGGGTGGAGTAGATAATGAAACGGGGGAGGCAAACACAGGGCCATAGCATTGCATGTCTGGGTATGATCTGTGTTCCATATTTTACAGAGTTTCAAGCAAGTCCATCTCAGAGCAGAATCCCGTTGCTGCGGATGAATTGCATTTTATTCCTTTAGGCCGACCGGAAGCTCCCCTGAACATTCACTGTGGCCGGTGTTAATCGGTCTGCGGCACTTGGTTCAGTTCTCCTGTTTCCTTTGTGGCAAGGTTTTCAGAGACCCCCGTTGCAATTTGTTAAGAACTGGAAGGCACCTGGACCAGTCTTTTTAATACACACGAATACAGAGAAGCTTAGAAGGGAAAAGCAAAGGAGAAGTTGCGTCCATAGGGAATTTCTTATGGGTTATGATCATAGGTAACTTCATATACATCATCACACAGTGGGGCATGTGATACTAACTTCATTTATAGGAGGGAGAACTAAGGTTCAAGGTCAAACAACTAGTGTGTGTCCCTTTCTGGCCCCAAGGACACAGATGGTGCCACTGCGTATACTCTGGGTGACCCTTTGCTCATAGGTTCTTTAGAAATTAACACAATGTCAGCTGAATGCTGATTTTGGTGGGGTTTTGT